ATCATAATTCGAACCGCTCTTAAGTGACTAGTGTTTATCTGTTGCGGTCTATTATTTTGCCCTATCGAACTCTACGAGATAACGACGACGTTTTGACTCGGAAAACATCAATTATTATGCGTAAAGATACGCGTAACCTTTTATTTAACGAGACGCCCGGATGGATTTTTTTTTTGTAATTAGGCCACCGTTCAAAAGAGTTCAAACGTCGTTCCATCATATTATGCAACACACAGTATAACGGACGTTTCGAATTGAAAAAACGAAGAATTATACGACCAGTTATACTATCGTATAATATTTTTCTTATTAGAATCAAAGGATTTGACAGCTGGGTCATCAACTATAACTATCGACGGAATATTCTGTTTTCGTTCGTGTATCGTATATTATATTATATAGAACCCGAACGATTCAAAAAATAACTATACGCTAAGTACATATGTTATTGTACGAGATTCGATTTACGGTCTAATTAGGATGTAGTTACAATATATACTTTAGAGTTTTTTTCAAAATACATTTTGGAAATAATAAAATATTCGATTTTCAATAATATTACCGATAACTACGGTTTTATTAGTTTTTTTTTTCTTTTAAATTTGAAATACATCGTTCATCGATTTGAGAAATGTTTTTAAAATAATAAAACTCTCTCCTCTCTCGCATACGACCGGTGCAGATAATCTTAACCCCGGATAATGCTAATTATACTAGGAAAATGATACCCTCATGAAAAATCCTACCTCCCCTTTAGGTAAAATTGTCCTACGTAAATCTTATCTCCTTCTTCTGTTAAATTGTCTGGGGGCTAAGATAATATCAGACACATTTTACTCTTCTCCCTAATGGTAAGATTAACCTGAAAATTATACGTTTAAAACTGATAGGTTTACAAACATAATACGATGATACAAACGGCTAAAACGTGCACGACGACAGCTGTGAATAGATTATAACACACTTATAACTTGTTTCGTACCATTGATAGGTTACTGTTTTAAGTGGGTAATGAAAATATACCCAGTTTGAACATTTTTAAAATTGTCTAAAACTTTTTTATGTTTATTAATCTTATTGCTGATTTAAGTGAAAACGATCAAACATTTAGTAGGTAATTTTTTTTGTTTATTCAATTAATTGAAACTGATGGAAATAGAATAATATAGTTTTCTTTTTTTTTTTTAAAATATTTCTTTTACGTAACAGTCCTAAGTCTGTGTATTGAATGACAAGGAATAATATAATGTTAAACCTATGCAAATCATGTTATACCTCCACAATTACAACGAAATTTGTATTCCTATAATTTAACGATTTATGCACGCTGTAAGACGGGAAAAAGGGTTCGGAAGTTTATGTAAATTATTCACTAGACCGACACGGAAACGTTATCAAAGGATTTTCAATGGAATTTGGAAATGGAAAATAAAAATTCGTCTGTCCGCCGCCGCCGCATGTTTAATATTCCATTCATAGACGGTACACGAATTCGGAAACTATTTCGAGTATTCCGGTCGAATGGTATTTTCAATATCGTATAGTGATCATTTGAGTCGTTCTTTCTCTAAAAGTCTGTAACGATAGTAATTTCATAAATCTGAACGATGCTTTTCGACTGACGACTTCCGCGTAAAACCAGCAATGAAAAGAGAGAGTGTTTGTCGCTTTTTAAATGTTCTATCGGTTGCATCCGAGTTCCGTCCCGTGTAATTTGTTTAGTAAGTTAATACGAGTTCCAACCCTTTTTGCATTTTCTACACTATTAATGTATAGTATAAAACGTACGAACACGAATAACAATTTTATATTATTTAGAAATAAAGATAATAATATTGTTTTCAGCTATCGCATTAAATAATAGAATTTAATAATACTTTATTATTTAGAAATAAAGCTAATACTATTTAACTTTTAAACTTTCCAGTCATCATTTGTGCGTCTCTATGTCTGGGGATTTGTTATTTTTTATTGTACTTATATATTGTAATTACAATATTACAATATTTTTATTAGAGACGGAATTGGTATAAAAAAAGTTATTGGGCAGGAACTTAGATACCGCCGTTCTATCGTTTGGATTTTCCTGATAATAATGCCTTTTTTTTTCATATTTGAATCAACAGTAGTAGGATATCTGTTTTCACAATATTTCCCTACTGCTGCCATCATTTATTGCAAAATTACAGCTCATCTATATTTTAAACCCTTTTTCCCCTTGGCGGGACAGGCTCATCTATACAGGTCACTAACAAAACTCTAAAGTGATAAAGTAAAAGTAATCTTATGTCTAACAGAGGTAGCTAACTTAACACAATTGCAGTTGCTCACGCTCCGGTCTTCCCGGTCCGGTTCGTGGACCCGACAGCCTAGAGAGTCGTCCTTTTGAATTGATGTTGGGATCAAAAAAAGTAAAAAAAATAAATCTGAGTTGCAGTCGAATCATCTTAATTAAGTATGTGTTTGAACCACAGTATACAGAAATGTTTATAAGTTACATTTAAAATACAATGTAGTTAAAATATTAAGTTATTACATATTAGTATAATATTATTAAATATAAAGTGTAGCTTTTAACTCTAAATCAAAACTGAGAACCGATCGCCACAACCCAACATATTTGAATTTTTAAAGTGTGCCAAAAACATTCAGATCGGTAAATATGCCAAAATCAATTCAGTAGATTTGGAAACTAACAAAAATTCTAAGAGTATTAATCAGAAATTTATTGAAAATAAAATCAAACACTTATGGGGAAAAAAATTGTTTTTTTTTGTATTTATTTTAACTATATTATATGTAACTATCATAATAATTTTATTTTAAATGTAACTTAGAAAAATGTGTGTATACTAGGTTTCAAAAACATATCTAATTAAGGTAATCCGACCGTAACTCGGATATTTTTTTTACCTGTTTTGAGATCGACCGCAACTCGGTATCAACCTCCGGTCCTATCTCTTCGTGACCCGGTTCGCCAAATCCGCCCGTATAGAGTCGCATTCTGAGACTTCTTCAGAGTCCGAGAGCGTAGAAGAACCCAGCCTGAATAATAGTGGAGGGTAACACCGTTAGGTTGGCTTTGGCCTTGGCCTCAGCCTCCTTGTCCTTTGTTCCTTTCATTCTGCCCTTACGGCATAGGATAAAGACCGAGTGCCGTGGTTTGAAGCGCGTAAGAGCTGTTCGTGCCAAAAGAACGTTTTGGCTGCCAGACGGAAGGGTTTCCAGTGCGAACAGACAAAGAGCGTGTGCTCAACTGTGTTCTCTCTGTGCTAGTAGTATAGGCATTATGCGTTTGGGAGACGTCCCATATAACAGAACTAGTGCCTGAAGCACCAAAGCATCCGATAAAACCTAACATAATCTGGGTGATGTGAAAGGTCCTTAGGACGTCTCATTACCTATCTCTTCAGGTCCGGAAGAATATATACGTCCGTTCTTTTTATTTCTATTTATTATTTATTTTTATTGATTTTATCCATGTTACTAAGGTAATTCGTAATTCAACAAAAATAATAATAAAAAAATATCTAAAAATCTTTCTTCCTCTTTAAGTTTTATTTTCGTAACAAAATGCAGCCTATATTTTTTTCCAAGGTCTTATCTATCTCTATACCGAAATTCATCAAAATTGGTTAAGCGGTTTAGGCGTGAAAACGTAACAGACAGACTTACTTTCACATTTATAATATTAGTTAAGATTAGAATATATTCATTATTTAGCTATTTTGTCACCTGACAATTGATAGTTGAATAGTTTAAGAACAGAACATTCTTAGTCATGGAACAGCAAATGGTTTTAGTATTTTTCTATTTTTCTGAAATTATAGCAATCTAGACTAAAATGATTACCGTAAACCGATTGGCTAGGTTTAATTACCATTTAATAAATCCAAAACATCACACCATTTACGTCTCTTCAACTTCTTCTTCGGCAATCTTAGTCAAAAAAACAATATTTATATTTTATAAATATTTTCTAGTAGGTTCGTGATTATTAATTATGATAGGTAATACTTATAAACGAATGATACATTGCCTGTATTCAATTTAAAGGTTATATGACAAACAATACATTTACCACCAATCACATGAAAATAGCAAATTATGTTTTATAATATTAAATATTAATATTAGGTACATTAAATCAAATTGTGTTGAAAATTAAAATTCGAATAAAAATATGTTAGATTTGTTATTATGTTGAAATATAACTGGCGATAAAACCCCTTGCTGGAGTGAGAGCGCTATAAGCAGTCTGTCTTCATCCGCATTCAGGAACACAGCCCTTTATTATTTTAATGTCCATCTATATCCCCATACCTCGAATTGATAACTCTGAATACTCAAGATCAGAGTAGTCATACTTATTAAATTATTTTAATGTCAATATATTTTTAATTCTAGTGTTCCATAATGTGATGTCAATACCTGTAATAGTTAATTCATTAATTATAAATTCTTATCCTATGAAATAAATTGTAAAAAATTGCGAAAACCCGTGAAATAGTAAAACAATTCAGAACTCAGAAGGGCCTATTAGCAGATATTCAATAATAATCCTACGGATAATTTGCCGGGTTATCAAATTTCAAAAAAAGAGTATAAATATTTTCCATTGTGTCAACACTAATTTTGGCCCATTTAATATGATTCTGAATCTGAGTTCTGGTAATTCTCATTTACAGTATTGTGCTTAATTAAAATCGATGAAATCCATAGTTATTACGTCATATTATGTACTATCGAAAATTCAGTCATTAATTATGTTATTGTTATCGCCGTTGTTATCGATTAGTGGTTTACCTCTCGCTATAGAAATATTAATTACTCAAATATGGACCAAAGGGCTTAGTAAAATTGTTATAAATGTATCTGATTTAACTTGATAGAGCCGTATAACAGATAATTTTAATTGTAAATGGTCAAAGGTTAAACTGATGTGATATATCGCATATATAAATAGTTCTCGGTTTCATTTCATTTCAGTCTTTTAGAGCACTTTGAGCATTATTGTGCTTGGTTCAACACCGACACAATATTTTAATATTTCTATCAGTGCGTAAAACCAATAGTTTTAGATGCTGGTTTATTCGACATCAAAAGTTCGTTATAATTTGTTTAATATTTCTCTAAGTGTATGCAATTAATTATAAAGTTATGAAGGATTCAAGTGTCAAGTACGAGAAACGGTGACACTATTGTAGTTGATACTGTTGATAAAGATGAAAGCGGACCGGGTTCATCTCAGAATGTGGAATTATTGAAGGATGAAAGCCAAACTATTTCCCAAGATGAATCACAGTCGTCAAGGTAATTTCCTATGGTTACTATACTTGATGGAATTTGTTTTAAATTAATATCTTGTAAAAATGTGATAGTATGTTGTGTTAAATGTTAGCCAAAAGTGTAAACACAAAGGTATCGTCAAGTTTTAAACTTCATTAAAAAAAAAAAAATGCACAATAGTTCTGTTTTCGATGGATTTGAAAATTATATTGTTCATGCATGAAATTAAAAAACACAAAAGATTGAAGTTTTAATCAATACGAATAGGGTGCTTGTCATAGCCCCGCCATCTACATGGATACCAAAACTGTGACATTCCAGAATAACTGTTTTTCGCTCTAACGAATCTTTATCAATCCAGTGAACAGTTACACCCATAAAATTCATTTTTTTTTTTTTGCAAACCGCACATTAGCTGTTATACATACAAAAATTACTTTTTCTAAAGAACTTTATATTTTGAGTTGAGTGTATTAAAACTAGTTTTAATTTTTGTACTAAGACTTCGCCGGTTCATTAAAGTTAAACTGTTATTTTTAATAATTCCAGATTTAATAAACATTTCTTTAATAAACGGATTTCCTACTGTATTGAGAGGTGCCATTGTGTGAATAATATAATTAGTTATATCTTCATCAAATTGATTTTAAGAGTATTTCGTTTAGTTTTCATTTTTACTATTCGTGGTACTGGTTTGTTATAGCCCAACCCCTCCCGCCGCGGCGAGTGAAAACTATATAGCCCCGTCACTCGGGTTTGTTATCGCCCCGCCATCCATGTAACAATAAATACATCGTATAAATAAAAAATAATTCGACGGAAAATACGTACCATTGCTATTTGGTGCCTACCATAGGTGTTTATCACAAATAATCAATGATATAATAATGTAATTAACCGTTATGGAAAATAATGAGCTTATTTATCGATATTAATTAATCTAATAATTCGACGAAATGCTGATAAAATATTAAAAAAAATTAAAATTAAAAAATAATAAATATAAAATAATGATATAATGTTAAAAAAAATGTATAAAAAAAAGTTTATGCCTCCCGTGATTCCCGTGGTATTATATCAATATACCGTCGAAATATTAGATTAATAATTATCAATAAATAAACTCATTATTTTCTCTATCGGTTTATTATATTATTGATTATTTATGATAAACACCTGTGGTAGGCACCTAATAGCAATGGTACGTATTTTCCGTCGAATTATTTTTTTATTTATACGATGTATTTATTGTTACATGGATGGCGGGGCGATAATAAACCCGAGTGACGGGGCTATAAAGTTTTCATTCGCCGCGGCGGGAGGGGTCGGGCTATAACAAACCAGTACCACGAATAGTAAAAATGAAAACTAAACGAAATACTCTTAAAATCAATTTGATGAAGATATAACTAATTATATTATTCACACAATGGCACCTCTCAATACAGTAGGAAATCCGTTTATTAAAGAAATGTTTATNGTATAACAGCTAATGTGCGGTTTGCAAAAAAAAAAAAATGAATTTTATGGGTGTAACTGTTCACTGGATTGATAAAGATTCGTTAGAGCGAAAAACAGTTATTCTGGAATGTCACAGTTTTGGCAGTGCTTATAAACATGATAGAATCGCCAATATATTACATAATATCTATTACTATATTATTACAAGTACAATTTAAATGTCACTAAAGTAAATTGTGTATTATATTGACAATAGTTCTAATAGTATAAGATTATAATAGAATATACTTGAACATTTTTTTTTTTCCATAGGTAATTGCATCCGTTACAGATAAAAGTAGTAATATCGTTATGCATTTAGAGCATAGGGTGTAAAAATTTCATATTTTGGAAATTTAAGCAGTGTATTGCAATTGACTTCAACGATAGGAATTCAAGTGTTATAGGTTTTCTAAGTGAAGAACAAAATGGTAATTTACAAAATGAATCATACATCGATTTTTCTAGGCCTATTCAATGTTGTGATCGATGTATGGTTCATTTTCTAAATTATCGTTTTCCACTCTAACAGATCTCCATCAATCCAGTGAATGGCTACAACTATAAAGTTCATTCTTTTTGCGGACCATTCATTAGCTATTATATATATATATATATACAAAATTTCCTTTTTCTAAAGAACTTTTTATTTTTGAAATGTGAGCAATAAAACTAATTTTAATTTTTGTATCTAGACTTTGTCGACTCATTAAAGTTAAATTTTTATTTTTAAGAATTCCAGATTTAATAAACATTTCCTTAAAAATTGTATTTTCTACTATATTGAGAGATACCATTGTATGTATAATATAATTGGATACATTTTTATCAAATTGATTTTGAGAGTATTTCGTTTAATTTTCATTTTTACTATTTGTATTGTTTAAAACTTCAATATTTTGTCTTTTTTGAATTTCGTGCACTAAAAATATAATTTTCATAATCATCTAAAACAATTGTTGTGCATTATTTTTGAATGAAATTAAAAATTTGATGATCCCTTTGTGTTTACATCTTTTATGTTCATACATTGAACCATTTGTGCTACTAGTGATATAATTAAAAATTATAAAATCATCATTAACTATGAAATTCATAGATTCTCAAAGGATGGAAAAGTGTAATACACAATGGAATGCAGCAAGTCGACCAAAATCAACAAAGGTAATACAATCAATTCTAAGACATACTTTATCAATACCGAATGAAACAAGATGGACTTTAATATATGACTCGTTATTTCAAATTAATAAGAGAAAAGAAAAATTCAGTGAACTTACTAGATCAGTTGACTTAAAGCATTGTTCATTTGCTGTTTCTGATCATAACTATATCGATGCATTTTTATTTTGTGTTCAGCCTTTATTACAATCATTGGACATACTACAAGGAGATAAAAGTGTATTCTACAGAATGATCTTTTCCGCATTACTAAGTTTACAACAAAAATTAAGGATCATAAACAGTGGACATATTATGTATTTTAAATTAAATATAAAAATTATTCTAAATAGTATGGAAAGAAGATTTTCAAATATTTTAAGTTCAAACAAAATTGAAGCTGATAATATAGCTATTGTCACCTTTTCTCATCCCAGGTTCAAAAGGAAATGGCTGGATTATATGAATATCTCTTCTTGTGATAAACTTTCATCACTGTTTAAAAATGTAGTAACATCTAAATTTATAACTACATATAGTGGAAAAGATTTTGAAATTAAAGAGGTTTTGATTCTTTTTACTTTGTTCTAGAGACACAAAATAACAGAACAGATATATCTACGTCTGCTGAGATGGAAGTATGTATATAAAATTGTATGCTTTTATTGAAAAATTAAACTGCCTATAAATTTAAATGTATGTTTCTAGGTATTTAGTTATTTTGAGTATCCACGTCATTGTATTGAATGTTTCAACTCATATCCTACTGTAAAAAAGTTTTTCTTTGATACAATAGTCAAATTTAAATTAACAATTACAAAATGGTAAATAAAAATAAGTATAAATTATTATTATTGTCATGAACGATATGATCGAATTGTTATTATTATTATAATAATTGTTTTATACAAATTCAATATTATTCACAAATTATTCTAATATTATATTGGTAATTATTATTTGCATTGTTATAAATATTTTATTGTTTTAAAAACATTCAATTCTATTAACAAATTAAATTATGTATAATTTTTTTTTTATTTTATTCAAACTTGAAAACCAATTAGAATAAAATATTATTCTTTATTTAAAAAACAATCAGTTATTCATGCTTTCATTTTTTATTTATTATTTTGATATTTGTTTTCACCTAACTCTGCTGACCACATCCGTTTAAAACTACGGTTTCCTACAGCGGGATTTGATTTATAATTGTATTTAATGTAATAAATAAATAACAAACATATATTTTTGAATTCTAAGGGTAACGAGCAACATATTGGTTTAAATAACATGATGATGCGTGTGTTTGTTTTGTAAGCAAATATTCTACCAGAAATGTTACTCTAATATTCAAGTCTAACATATTTTGTGAAAGGAAATGTTATCTTGTTTTTGCATTGAGTATGTGGGTTTTTAAAAATTTTTTTATAGTTTTTCAAATAATCGGGAAAAAACGTAAGAAAACCGGAAAATTTATTCAATAACGGTTTCTGTTATTTTCGATTTTGTTTCTAGATTCTGAGTATCGCAAAGAATGTATTTTACTCGGATGTTATTTGATTACTATTATTTTTTTTTATACTGTGTATAAAAAATTTAACAAAAATCTTGTTCAGGTATATACGCGCAGCACCATTTCTGAAAGGAAATATTGTCCAGATGGTACTTTCGGAAGTAATTTTTTGATTTTCCAAACGGTTTTTATAATATCTGGAAAAAACTAGGATAAAACGTAAGAAAAATGGGAAATTTACGAAAATAATGCTTTTATTATAAATCATAATTGTTATTTGTTGTAATTCAGTTAAAAATATTCATAGAGACTTGAAATTCGGACAGAAAACTTATATTTGTCTTTTCTAGACGTGGTGAAATGTTCAAAAACTTTAAGCTACTTGTATTTTGAGCTATTTATGGACATTTTAATTTTGTGAGTTTTGCACGTAATTTTTATTCGGTAAGTATTTAGTGGTAACATTTTTAGACTTAACAGAAATGCTTGAAAATTTAATAGCAGGTTCATTATGAATCATACTTTTTGGTCAAAAAAAAAAATTTAGTTTAATGGTATTTATTTTTATAAAGGAATTTTATTATCAAATTTTAACGAAAATCGTTTGAGTAAAAAATTACGTGGAACAAATTTAATTTTTAAATTTTTTTTTGAACATATGTATATTGTTGATGATTTAAGAATGGTGGTAAATTGAGCGAACTAACTTAGTTTTGAAATTAAAGCTTTTTGGAGTATTAATATTATACAGACATTATTTGTTATGTTAAATAACTGTATATTATATATTTTATATAATATTTGTCGTGGTTTAATGTTTAAATATGCTAAATATGATTCTAAGGTTTCCGAGTTCAAACCCGGATTCTGAATAAAAATTTCCCTTTTACCTAAACAATGAAAAAACTAAATACATTTTGGGTGTACCTAAAGACCCAAGCAATCGCTCCCTCTGACTATTTTTAATCTCGCAAAATTCGTCTCGATCTGTTGTGCAAACTTTCTACCAGAAATCTTGCTCCGATGTATCAAGTGTAGCTCATTTTATGAAAGGTAGTTTCATCTCCATGGTAACTTAAGGAGATCATTTTTTGATTTTTCCAAAAGTTTTCCTGGCAAACGTGAAAACCCGGGAAAAAAATGGGAAAACCGAGAAAATCGGTACAATATTAAACATGTATTATTAAAGAAAATAAATAATGCCTATTTGATTATTTTACCATAGTATGACATACATGTATTAATGACAAAGCATCACTATCAACTGAACTGCGCTCAGAATCGTTTTTTCGTCAACAATGTTTTATCGTTGCTTACATATATACACTAAATTACCTATAATAGTAGCTGCGTCTATCTCCATTATCCTACGACGTCGTTTTTATTTTGATGTGGTTTAAAATAATCGTGAAAACCGAAAATGTTCACAGAATAATGGATTAAATTGAATTTTTCTATATGTGATAACATTTTCAAAATGCTCACTTAATTTTTGAGTTATTCATAGACATCCGATATTTTTGAGTTTTTTGAGTTTTTATGTGAATAACATTGTTTGATCTACCAGAAATACTTGGAAATTTCACACGAGGTTAATTATAACTAATTATAAGTTTTATAATAACCGTAAAAATCACAGCATTTCAATGGAAAGATAAGACGAACTTTATTTTATCGTTGTGCACGTATAGGATATAAATCACATAACTCTATGTATCGATGCTTTCCAACTTTTCATCCATAACAGCTGATTCGCATTTGTAATATCAGCGATTTATGTCTTTCGTTTGTTGGTCGTGTGCAGCGTACGTTTTGTGCAAGGTTGAACGTGTTTTTTTAAAATGTTTTCGCAAAAAAAAAAAAAAAAATATAATAAGTAAAAATAAAAAAAAATATAATAAGTAAAAATAAAAAAAATATAATAAGTAAAAATAAAAAAAAAACCGACCGAACGAGCGGAAGACGGAAATTGTCGCGACGGAAACGATTATTACCTGGGTGTTATTACAGTAATGACCTGCGTTATAATTATTATCATCCGGATTAATTATTAGTCGATTCGATTGGCTCGACTACACCGGTTAATATTCGTCGTTATAATATTAATACAATATCGTGTGTGAACGCGAAAACGAGACCGCGTATTAATGTATACGGTTTCCGAAAGCGGCAAGTAGGAGAGAGGAGAAACTAATTAATAAAAAACAATAATAATCGAACGGAAATAATATATTATGGAACAACGGTTACTATAATATGTTCGTAATTCCCGTACTTTGCGCCACATCCAGTTAGGTTATGCCATGTTTTTGTATGACGTCGATTTTGATTTAGATTCTGAGTGGAACGAAGAATTTTAAGGTTTCACAAAGAGGTACCAGCAATTTGGTTCCGATTTATAATGATAGCAATTTTTTTTAAAGGGAAACTTGACTGGAAAGATTATTTTTCCATTTTTCCTCGGGAGTTTTCTGATCAAATTTGAAAAATCGAAAAAACAGGACAAACGGGAAAATATAAGAAATGTAGGTATTAGTTAAAAGATATTACGACCTTCTCTTTTCCTGTGAACAGCTTTTCTATAATAAATTTGGCTCCAATTCATAACGATAGTAATTTTTTTGAAAGGAAATTTTACTGAAAAGGTACTTTAAAGAGGCTATTTTCGATTTTCTCGGGAGTTTTCCCAGCAAATGTGAAAACCCGGGATAAAACATGGGAAAATCGAGAAAAACATAGGAAAACTGAGAAAATCGGTATAACATTAAACAAATATTATTAAAAAATATATATAAATACTATTTAATATATATTTTACTATAATATGGCATTTATATATATTGTAGATAAAACATCACTATCAACAGAACTTTGCTCAGAATCAATTTTTCGTAAACAATGGTTTATGGTTGCTTACAGGTATACATTAAATTACTTATAACAGTGGCTGCACCCGTTCCAATTCCCTAGAAATAATTTATATGGCAAAACAACGCTTGCCGGGACAGCAAGATAATAAGAATCAGCATAATCTGAATAAGAATAATCATCACTTAAATAATAATAATAA